TCACCCAATGATAGGCCTGTGAAAGTGAAATTGACGATTCCCATGACAATCACGAAATTCCTGCGACGATCGATGTTGTTAACGAACTTCAGACAGCACTTGCTTGGTTTGAAGGACAATTAATTGATAGCATTAAAATTTTGCAACTTCGACAATTACTATCGTATGCACGTAAAGAAAATGTTATTTCCAAGCGGAAACAAACCAAGATCACAAGCTTTTTCAACCACTGAGGCGACGAACATTTGGTGATCGGGAATATGCTTAAATTACTCTAACATTTACATTGAATATTTTTAATATATTTGTAATTGAATTGACGGAATACATGTACAAGTTTTGTAACTTATTTTGATTTATTCGTAACGTGTAACAATGGTAGAATAAAAAGAAACAATGCAACTACAATGATTTTATTGTTTTGCATATGAATAGGTGTCGATCCCGGGTGTCAATCGAGCAATGAATAGGTTATTCAGTATAACGAACACTTCAATATAACGAGCTAAATGGCTGTCTCCCGACGTGTTCGTTATAACGAGGTTACAGTGTATATTTACTCCGCCTCATTACTCTGCTGGATCAAAACTTAAAGCCTAAATTGCTCTATACATAACCAGAACACTTACCCAGGCCAGGATGTCCCAAAAATAGGGCAAAGCAATTGCACTCGAAGAATATAAAGAATCAGAGGGTAGATGGTCACTAACTGGAACAGCAAGAGAAGTCTGCCAACAAAAGCCATTATGTCAGCACTGGGAAAATTATCTAATAAATTCTGAAATGCAAATTAGATAAATTTATATTTAAACTTCCACAATGATATTGCTCAAACACTACTGTAAAATCTGTATTAGAAGCTGTGGCTTCTATTAAAACCCAGACTGCCTCCCAACCAATCAGAAAGCATGATTGCAAGACTTTATTTACACATACATGTACATGTATGTGATTTGGGTCTGACTACTTTTGTACAATCTTTTTGTTACCTTTCAACTGCCCTAGTTCTTTGATACATATTATACATATGTATCAAGTAACATCAAAGATACACTGACATTGTATGATGATTCCAAGAAGTAATCAAACTCCAAGAATACCCAAGCTTATAAAAGAGACAAAGTAACAATGTTCATCATTTGACTCAATGCAAAGCTACTTTACAAGATTGTGTCTGATTGGCTACTCAACTCTAACACCTGACAATCAGACCAATCAGCTTGTTTGTTAACAGGTTTTTTTTAACATATGCAGATCTTGTGTATTGCCACAACTTCAGTATGCAAATTTTATGAAAACAAGGACTATAGATTCCAATAAGACAACACTCGTATATACATTTATTGCATAATAAACATGGTCCCATTTCCCATTAAAGAATTCATGCACAATCAATATCATTAAAGGTAGAGATACAGTTTACCTGACAGGTATTTTAATTAGGTAATTAGGAAACCAAGATGACCTCCCTTGTCCACAAAACTATATATTTTCGGAAAGCTTATTGTATAAATTTTAATGTTGTTAGTATTTTTTTTATGGACACTGTAGTTTGAAATATGCACAAAAATGTACTTTTTTGGTCAAAAGTGATTTAAAAATAATTAGCTCCTAAACCATGCTTCTGTTTCATGTCAAAATTGATTTGTGGGTACATCTGTTTACTATGAAGAAAGTGCCGTCTTGAAAACTGTCTACCAGTTGTCAATTTTGCAGGGCAGCAGCCCAAATTTCACTACTTCAAGTTTTCATAAATTAACACCCAGACTAGTTGTCTGTACGATCGTTGTAACACTGTTCAACCAAAAACAATGCCCCGACGGCGTTTTGAAGATAAACACATTATCAATCATTTGTGAAAATTTCAAAACAAAAGGTCAAAGCGTCTAGGAGCTTTTTTTTTTAAAGTTCTGGGATGTGCACTAAAAAGAAGCTGAGATAATTGCTAATTTGCATAACAATTCACTCAGTAAGAAGTTTGCTAATGTTCAAATTAAAATGGCTGTAGCAGTTCCAAATTTAAATGTATTTTAGTTTTGTTGAAAGTTAAATATAGTGCATAATATGGAGATCCGTCATTTCTTTTTTCATCATGTTTCTTTTTTATTATTTATGTACAGCCTTGCTAAATCTTGCTAAGCATTCAAAAGAGAGAATGTTTTCACCTGTTATCTATATTTTAAAATCGTTTTTTTGAGTATGTTCCACTATTCACAATTCTACACAATTTTAACAGTCTATAGCCAAGACTGTTTGGATAATAAAAAACAAACAAACAAAATTTCACTCCCA